CCCAAAAGTTATTATCACACAGGATGGACGGCAGCTTTGATCTAGCCTTGCTTTATCAACACCTCCAGTGGGACGCAAACCATGGCAGTGCAGTGTATAAGGTCAACACGTTAACTTGTACGCCACATCGTCACAAGTGCCCTTTGGCCACAAGACAGATGTTAATTTAAGGTATGGCCAAACATTTTCTCTATGTCACATTCTGTAGTAGGATTGGAGATAAAGCAAAGTGGTATTTGCTATAACACAGGCACTCATGACAATGTGGCGTAGTGATTAACGCTTCGAGGTTATACTCTGCAGTATCGTAATTTGAGTCATCCTGGAGGCGTTGATTGAAGCTAGGTGAGGTTGAAACTGCAGTCCGGAAAGCAAAGCTATGTGAAATTTGATGGCAATATCATGTCTACTTATATCATTATGGAAAAATTTAGCTATCAGTCCTTTTATAACCCTAAACAAAATGGAATGAATACACCTTATATCTTTGTTTAATGATTGCTTCTGGTCATAATTAACCCCTGCGGGTGATCTGTAGTCTGACCTTCGAAAAATAGACGAGTTTTTAGGGTGAACATTTAAAGTCTTATCTACCACAACATAGTATTCTTTTAGATATTAGATTTTAAGTCATAATTGGATTAATTGAGCACTAAATTTCAATTCAAAAATTATCTAAACCTTATTTCAATACTGTACTAATTCAAACCTCATTTGTTATATTTCGTATATAAGCAGAGTTTCGAGACTACCAGTAAATCAGTTATACGAGATGTATTCACCCTATTTAGTTTAAGATGATGAAGGACTGATAGTAGAATTTTCCCACAATTATATTGGTAGAGCTGACGTTTCCGTTGAATTTCACATAGCCTTGCCTTCCCAAAAGTTTTTCTCATTCAAAGTGGACTGCAGTTTGACCTCGTCTAGGTCTTATCAACACGCCCAGCGGGAGTCGAACCGTGACAGTGCAGCATGTGAACTTGACACGTTAATCACTCAAATACATTTCCACGAGTGCCCTTGGGTCACTGGACAAATGTGAATGTCAAGGAAAGTCAGTCCTTTTCCCATATCACATCCTTTGGTTGGATCGTCGATGAAGCAAAGGTATTTTTACTATAACACTAGACCACATTACTTATTTTTCGTATATAGTCATAATTTCGAAACACCAGATAAATCAGCTATATGAGATGTATTCATCCTATTTCGTTTAAGGTGATGACGGGCTGATAATAGAATACATCTCATATAACTGATTTATTGGTAGTCTCGAATCTCTGACTATATAGAAAAAATAAGTAATGTAGTCGATTGTTATAGCAAAAACATGTTTGTTTCATCGACAATAGAATGTGATATGGGGAAAGGCCTGACCTTCCTTGAAATTCACATCCGCTCTGTGACCCAAGGGCACTCGTGGCAATGTGACTGAGTGATTAATGTGTCAAGTTCACATGCTGCATTGTCACAGTTCGACTCCCGCCAGGGGTGTAGATAAGATTTAGGCGACGTCGAAATTTCAGTCCATCCTGGATGTTAACAACTTTTGGGAAAGCAAGACTAGATAAAATTCAATAAAAAACGTCTTCTCTTCATATATATTTGTGGGGAAATTCTACTATCAGTCCTTCCTCATCTTAAACTTAAATAGGGTGAATAAATCTCCTATATTTGTTGCTTGGTAATAATAGAAGTTGGGAATCCCAGCTTAGTTTACCTTAAATAAAGTGGGGTAGCTATACCTATTTAAATTTAGCTATCGAATCTTGGTTAATATGTTTTGGTTAATATTTCCCACATAAGAGTAAATAAGTACTCATATATTCAACAAACAATAAGCTATGACTATGGCCATGGCTATGACCATGGCTATGCACCTGGAGGTTCTCGGCTCACCATTCTCTACTTCCGGCTTATTCACTGCGATTTTCTGTCGTGAAGTAAAATTCTTTGAGTTTGTGATCATAATTAAACCCATTTCAAGCTGATGCGAATCCAAGAATTAAGTAGCTATGAAACCCCAGTTTAGAATCATGATCACGAAAATAATCTACTAGTTTAAAGGCATCGCATGAGATAATTCTTGCATACACAAAATAGCCTCATACATGTAATGAACTATAGAGCCTTTGGAGGAAGCCTTCATCTTCATCGGGTTATTTAACAAAGTTGCCTCATCCAAATACAATACCAGGCAGTCCGAATTAAGGGTAATAAAAATTGTGTTATTTGATATCAGCAAAGTCCAAAATGTGTCCAACTTATCTCTCCTGCACTTTACATTATCACCCCAAGTAACGTTGTCTTTGTCAATCTCTTTTATCGATGTTGCTCTTGTAATGTGACTAAATTCTATCCCTGGATTCCTACTGTCTGACAATACAGCTGATTTACATCTTAATGAATAAAAAATAGAATCTTTTGGGATTTAAACTTTAATCTCATCCGTTATTTAAGACTTACACTGTAAAGCATGATTGTATTGAGTCTCTCCTCATTTACGGTACTTTTTGCGGCCGCAATTTACAGGCCATTGCAAAGGTAACGAGCACCGGCCAGAAAAAGTAAATGAAACAGACTTATGCTTATTTCACTGAAATTATTCTACACTAAGTAATTTATTGAAGCATTATCTGCTGACAAGGTCAAACCTTCAGAGATCTTACCATGGCTGGTGGCATAAATTATCCCGTTGGAATCCATTCTAATAACTTTTCGAACACTTGGAAAATTGTATTATCAGATTATCGCCCATGTTAAATTTTGGTTTTGTTTGTTACGTAGCATACTTATCGTGCTCTTTAGATAACTGGAATAAAGTTTCCAAAATTGTTTTTTCTTGGGTAATTTCGTTATTAACATCTTATCACAATATAAGAGACTTCCCAAGACGATCTTATTGTAAAATTCGGCACCACTTGAGGATTTACATCCTTTGAAAGCTATTCAATGTTAAATAATTTAGCGAGAGCGATTTTTAATTCTCTACTTTGAATCATCATTGTGGCAAAAGTGATACTTTTATGATTACTCTAGCTTTGTGTTAGTATTCTGCGTCATCTGCATATCCTCCAGCAATATAATACCGAATTTTGGGCCCTTACTACGTTTACTAACATGTTCATTGTCCTTGCTGCTTGGAAGAGGTGTGAAGCTGACTTTGAGCGAAATTGAATTCATTGGGGAGTACAAGAATGTCATCGAAAGATACCCGAAGATTCCCTCTGCAGCAGTTAACACGACTCATTGCTTTCATATTCTTCATCTATGACAATTATTATTAAATGGGTGTTTAATGTTTACTCCAGAACTGCTCGAATGTTTTGAAAGACCTGAGATGGTTTTTTGTGTAATTGGGAAAGTGGAATGCTCATTGAACACAATCCTGGCTTTTGTGTAATCCAATATTGTCAAGAATGCGATTGTGGAGTCTCTTGATCTATCTAAAACAGCGGTCTTATGGACACAGCGTCCCCATCACAGCTTAATAAATCAAGGAAATTGTTACTCTGTTCAAGGAGATTTATTTGATACCGTTTAGGGAGGATATACTCTAAATTGTCCTTCAAAGAATAATGACTAAATTAGGGTTGGCCTTCGAAATAAATAATTATTAGGAACGTTAGCTTTTCAGATAGAAATCATTTAAATGCCGCATTTTGTGGGCCCCAACTAGCACCTAGCAACTGTATGTGCATAGAAGCTCATAAGGTTTAATTGTAACCTAGACCATTTTTGCCAATCTTTCTATTTTAATCACAAAATATCATCATTCCTGAGCATTTAGCATGACTTTCAAAGTTTCGGAAGTTATACAAAATATAATGCTATTGGATTTAATGCTGCATTGACTTAGTCTATCTGAGTGGAATCGAGCCTTCTACATATTTAGCCCGAATTTACTAGAATCCTCCATATTTTCTCCCTTCCATCTTATTCCAACACTATTTTACCTCATTCAGTCTAGTCCCTCTATTCCCCTACCTGTTCCGATCCTCAGCATTTCCATTTTATAACTCACACTCTATCCTAGTATTCTTTTTCATTTCCCCTTTTGCAGTCTCGTCATGACTCCATCTTTACGGCACTGCCAGACCATGGCTGTCTAACAGCTCAGAGTGGCCTCGAGATACAAGTCACAGCAAAAGCCGACGACGCTCTTGTCTTTCGTGATCGTCTTCGAGTGTGTGTGAAGTATGGCGGAGAATCGGAGGCAATCAGCCTTCGTGCCACGGGCCGAGGCAGTACACTCACACTGGAGCCAGTATCTTTTAAATCATTCGATGAGCATCAACTGAAGGCTAAAGATGTAGAAGAATGGAAGGATCCATTTGGGTCCGGCCCAATTTGTCATCTGGGTAGCCAATTTGCAGGGACTCCATTAGTTCGCCGCTTATGTGTCCGTAACGTTGGCCGTAGGCCGCAACAAGTTATTTGGTGTTTGACAGAAAGTGGCGAAGAGCCGGAGGAAAGTGGAAAGACTGCCAACGTTGCAAAGTCT